GTCTTTTATACTAATGGCTGTTTTGTAATTTATCTGTATTTTTTATCTAACTGTTGTACTATTTATTGTGTTGTTTTATTGTGTATTATTTCAGCTTATTTTTTCTTTGCTGGAAGCTGAAACGTCGGATTAAAAGATAAACAAGGATCTTATTCCATGTCCACAGCCATTAGTGTTGAAATGTAGATTTGGATTGCCATATAATGAAAATGACTTTCCAGAAATATAATATACTGTTGGTATTACCGAGTATCACCATGATATTCTGGGTTTACTAATAAAAGTTAGTTTCTGATATGGGCAGTTAATATAGCATAAACGTATTTTCCCTCTCGACTCCGTACAAGCCACCTGCTGCAGACGATCCGGACAAGCGTCTTACTTCGTCAGCTGATTTAGCCTGAAGAAGTACCATGAGGTACTGAAACGAAAGGCGGGGCTTGAAAATTTTGCAACCGTTGGAATGGTTCATAATGAGATTGCACAGACGCCCTTCTTTTCGTTAAGTTAACTGTAGAAGCGCTCTTGTCTGCTTCCGTGCCTTCGGCTTCGAGTGCCGTTTTTTAAACGCAGGGACGCCCGCAGTTATTTAACAATCTTAGTGTATAATTTTCCGTTTCCTCCCCAAAGTACTACTCGTTTATCAGCTTAATTATTCTAGTGGTACTCTTTTATCAAGGAAGGCAAGCGACTCGACTAGAGTTCAGATCTGAGTTAGACGCTCTACCGACTAAGCAACACTGGTTGGTGAGATACGGGCTGAAACGTAGGGATCAGTCGCTGTCATAGGATAGAGATAGATCTTTATTTTTTTAGCGATAAAACCTTTTCTGTGCTGTTTTTAGCGCCATTGTCCCTGCCATGTGTTAAGTAATATCTTCGAATTTACCCACATACGCAGTCGCAACGCATCCTTGCCTCCAAAGTTCTAAAGGAAATTTTTAACGTAGCACGCGTTCAAGGCATTGCAATACCTGCAGCACAGTAGGCTACTTTTAAGATCGTTAGATGTGACAAAGGAAAGGGTGACTTCGCGGCTGTTTTCTTGGCGTAAATCTGAAGAAATGCAATCTTGTGCTATTTTAATCGGCATTGTCGAAGGCAAGGATTTGCTTCTTGGTTTATTTCTTAGTATTATTAGTATTTTTAGTTCAAAATTCAAACAGGCTTTTTTCGGCCCTAAACAATTATGTGTGTTTTGCGCTCTAGTCAGTGATGCAAAACGCGATGAACAGTCCAGTTGCTCAAGCATCATGAACCATCGACTTGCATAACATGTTTCTCTGTGGCTCTAAAGTTAAGGGGACGGTACAGTTTTCTCTGAAATTCTGTAGCTAGATGAATGAAGCGCTCTCAGCTCTTTGTTCTCTGACATATTTTGTGCACTGATTATCAGTGCCTCATATAATGCGCTAAATTCTTGTAGGATTCATTTACGATATCACGGGCAACTATTTCTTAACGTTCACCATTGGCGGTATCGGTATTGTCGTGTCTGGAACCTTGGTACTGTTGCTGAGCTTCCTTATTTGGCGACATCCGCTGTCAAACGACTAGATGGTGCCGATCTGTTTGCACTCTGTGGTGAAATTTTATTAGTCAACATAATAGTCAGAACTGCGGTGGCATCTCTCTGTGATAGTTTTTTTATGACGTACGTTTTAAGGTTTTCATGTGTTCACTTATGAAATGCAGGCTGTATTTCCAGTCTTGTGTCATACGCGTGCGATTAAATAACATACGAACCTGCTGTGCTCTGGTAGTTTTTGTTTTTAGCCTTTCGCATTATCTTTCGCTGTCTCGTACCTAGGCGTAAGTTTGCTAGATTTATGTTTTGTGTGCATCCAAATGTATCATTGCAGTTGGTCGAACAGTTGAATGGATGTAAATAAGAGAAACGAAAGCTAAGTATAATACTGTGCTTTCGTTTTTTCGAAAGCTAGGTATAGTACGCCTGGATTCCAGAAATCTGAAGGTCATTGCTGTACCGCTAATTTTCCATTTTCAGTAGTCACATCTGCAGTGGTTTGTGCACGTATTGCGAATGTTGCCAGAAAGAAGACGAAACAGTTACTACTTAGCCAACCGCACCCAAAGACCTCGGGCATCGCCAAAAATGACTTGGGGGCAGGTGCTCTGATGTACTCTGCTCCACTTTTGGTGTTCCCTTTTTCGAGGTTGAACAGCTGGCATAGGTTCGAGAACGTTAAGGATATGGTCTGACATGTCTGCCTCCGCAGCCTGATAGAGTAAGCGGTCATCGAAAATGACTGATGAATGTAATTTGTAAGAGAGCTCCTAAAGTTTTATTTTTCGTGCAATGAAATAACCGATTAAGTGCACCACACCGGTGTTTCATGGTATGACTGTCTACCTTTCTACCGTTACAAAAAACATTTCCTATTTCTTTTAAAGTTGTTTGTGTATCTGGCTGAGTATCTACTAGTTGACCTGTTCCGATATGTAGATCGTTTCCTTGCACCTTCTGCAGGGCAGAAGTTTGCCTGCCATATGGCAATTAACTCAAGCTGCAGGTTTCTGCGGAGATTCCGCCTCATTTGCTTTATGATTTCATGTTTCTATTGTTTTTAGACTTCTAGATAACTGTGTTAATTTTGACATTTTCGAATAGAATTAACTCATGTGAATTCAAATCTCGGTGAAACAGATTTTTCATATTTCAAAGAAATCATCTCCAAACTTTCAAGTTATTAAGCATCGAACCATCTAAATATACTCGTTGAGAAGAATGACACTAGTTGAAACATTTCAAAACGGCAAATGTTTCAACCAGGTTTCCGGTCAGAGGCCAGAAGGCTTGGAAATTAACGACTGCTGCGGATGAGCAACCACATTCACGAAACTTCCCCACCAATTTACACTGAAGAAGACCTTGAGACGGGCAAAAACGCCAGAATTGGTCAGTCACTGAACAGAATGCAGTATCTTTTGCGTTGCGTATAAGTAAACTGTGCAATGCGTTTAATTCTTATAGCGTAACAGTTATACCAGAATTGGCGAAGCGCACGACTGGCTATGGTATTCGACATAATTTCCCTTGTGGAGGCGTTTCACTTTGACTCACTAGATGGCTTAATATTCAGTGTAATCGTCTGCACAACAGTGTAACTTTCCATTTTCTCTTTTTCTCAGCCAGTAAGATCGATGGCAACTGCGTGTGAGTGACATTGCATGTCTGAATTAGATTCTGTTTACTTTGGATTTCATGGATTAGTTACCATCAATATTCAATTGCAGCATGCATTTTCACATCCTAGTGCTGCATAGTAGTATGTATGTCATCAATTCGTTACCACTTTTCCAGTTGATTATTTCGAATCACATTGCGGTGATTTCCTTCTTTATGAGGTTTAGAGGTCAGTGGGGAAAATCAAGCCGCACAATGCTCAATCCCGTTGATAGTTTGCGCTCTCCAGCGTTTATTATTAGAAGTGTTCTTAATTAAATTATCAGTGTTTGCAGTTATTAAGCAAGCAGTTTATGCTACTTGAAGGAAACCTGCAATCTAGGTCTTCAAGCCATATTACTTATGTTACACGCTCTTAAACTTTTAGATAATCAAATTTAAGAAATCTCCGCCTACAGGATGCAGCCATCCGTTCTCAAGCGAAGTGTCGCCATGTTTTAAATAAATTGTGATGAAACAGATATAATCGAATAGCGCTTAGTGGTGTAGAATGAACGTAGAGATGCTGCGCAGAGTGAATGGATGGAGTCCGCATTGCACGATTGAATGATTGGACTACCCGAGCTGCATTAAGTTCTCATCGTGATATGTTACAATTCTGTAATATTTTTATATGAAAACGTTACAACTGTCCGTAATATGTCATTCAGTTAGTTGGCCATTGCTGTATTCAAGTTCTACCATCACCATTCCACGTAATGTGTCCGCCTTCATTTCTACGCAGTGACGGCAGTGCGGTGCGACAGTGGCCGTCAGCGACGTGTGCTGAATTGCGTAGAGTAGATGGAGAAAATGGAGTTCTAGATAGAATGGAGAGACTGGGAGCCATTGGGCTCAACTAAGTGGACTATTAGGGCTCTAGTAAGTTGTATCGTAATATGCTGGTGTTCTGTGAATTTATTCAGCCGATTTAGCGATAGCTGTTCTTGCAGCAGTTTCAACGATATGTATTATAATCATTTTTTGCTCTTGGTTTGATATGTTAATGGCGTAGTAAAATTATTTGAAACATTTTCATACCAGTAAGAAAGATATCCTTAAATGTCTACTCTGTCTAGAAATTTAAGCCAAATTGACGACACTCGTTGAATCACATTTATGACGAAAACGTTTAAATCCTTTGATAAGGCATGTAATGGGCTGCAGTGGCATCCTACCGTCTGACAAAACGCTTATTTTTAGTTTCATAAATCCTCACCTACATGAAGGTTAATGGAAACTTCAAGCAGTTAAGTTGGTACTTGTCCACAGAAAATTGCTTGTCGCATGAAAGTTGAGTCACTTTCTTGCGGTAAAGGGCTTGACTAATGCCTGAAAAACTCTTTTCTCGATTCAGTATGTGTATATCTCCTGTCTAAGCATAGACACCATCCTGATATTACATAATGATCTTTAATGACCTTGACTATCGTATCTACAGTATATAGCGATGTCACGTTTTTTCATGTATCTATTTATTATGGTTGTTTTTTGTTATCGTATGCCATTATTCATGTATACGCACTACTTTTCCGTTATTATGTCCTATTTTTCTACTCTCACTTCTTACCACTAA